AGGGATTCTAATTCGGGAGACAAAGTAGGAGAAAAGGAAACCTGGTATTATCCTCCAAAGTGAACATGAGGCCTCACTTTCAAATGTGTGGTCTATTTAGGTTTAACAGCTTCGGCTCCCTCCTGCATTACTTTTTGGTTTCTGGGAGGGAAGCCTCTCTACCAGCTCCGAAACATAACTGAAGCCTCTACTTGACTTCCCAAGGCTGATTAAGGTTCTTCATAAAAATCTGCACCCCTTTCCAGTTTCTCTGGGTCTGAGCATAAGAGATGAACATATGAGCTTAGGAGACTGGAAAGAGTGGGACAGATTTTCATGAAGAATGTTAAAAATCAAGATGCTGGGTTTCTGTAAATCCTGTTAGCATCTAACACAGAATCTGGTATGTAGTAGTTTTTAAAGAAAGTGATGCTTCACCCTTTTCTCTCTTTTGCATTCCCTAAAACGTCTAGCACAGAGCCTGACATGTGGTAGACAGAAATAAATACTTTGATTTGGTAATTATGCATGACATCCCAAACCTAAGAGTAATCAAGGCTTAAGGGGACAGTGGTAATGGTAGACATAAGACTGCAGCTATAATCACAGAAGAGGCCTCCCAGGCAGCATTCACCCTGAAACAAACCCTAAAAGTATGACGATGGACATCACATTGGCCAAACGATGATCAGAACATAATTCAACTCTGAGCATTATTACAAACCCATTATGCAACTCTAAAATGCCGTAATGAATTGGAGAAAGTTCTGAATCTAGAAGTATTGGTTACATGCACGTGTGTGAGCACACACACATGGAGACACACAGAGGTTTACATATGTATGTTACACGGAACTGTTATTAACAATGAATATTCTAGAACTGTGCTTTGAATTTGTCTTCAAGGAAATGACATTTTTAAAAGATACTCCAGAAATTGAAACCAGAGGAAAGATAAAAATATTTACTGAGAGCAGGAATGTTTTCATTTCATTATCCTTTTCATTTATCTTAAAATTTTTTTTTATGACGTGTAAATTCACTAGTAGGGGTCAATTACGTAGGTTACTTGCTACGTTCTACTTTAATCAGAGTGGTCTCCACGGACCAATACCTACTTCTTTCAGGTATATCAAAAAGGTGGTCACACAAACAAGACAAGTCAGGACCATTTACCCACCTGGCTGAATGGAAAGGTCTGAATATGAAATAAACCAGACGATGGAGCTCCTAACTGCCACACTGATTTAGAGCCGCCTGTCCAAAATGCAAGCACTTTGGAAAAATAAACACAGCAGGCAATGCCTGGTCTCCTTTTGCTATTCAGTGTCCTCCAAAAGACTATGAGTGCCTAGGTCACTGGTCCTACTTTCCAAGTCAGTTGGGAAAGAGTATTCAAAACACAGTTCACATTGATAAGCTCAGAAAAAGAGTTTGGTTTTTTTTGAAATACAGTCTTCAGTAGCCGGTACTCAGGAGTGACAGAGGCAGCCGGTGGGAGACTCCACTCAGCAAAGGCACATTAGCAAACTCTGCGAGAGGAAACGAGGCTGCTTTTAGTCATTTTTTGCCACATGTGCCAAATGATATCTGTTACTTGGACTGGGAATGAGGACTGAACTGTCTGGGCAGTGACAAGGTGCCAAGCATCTAGAGCCCCAGGTCCTGGCCCCTGACCATCTTCCACCTGAATCCTGCAGTACACAGGGGTCTGCAAGGTAACCCTGGAGCCAGTGTTGTCACAATTGCCCTCCTTTTTTCCAAACTAAGCAGCCAACAGACTAGGATACAGCCCCAGATTTACGATCCTGTCTTCTGCTGGAACTCAGGGTCCCTGACCCTGCTGAAGAATTTTTTAAGAGATATAGACACTAGGAAGGAAATACAGGAACGAGGAGAGAAGAAAAGTATACCTCTGGAGTACTAAAGTGACTCTGAATGCATACTTTTTCTTTCTTTCTTTTAAAATAGAAATACAGTTGCCAAAGAGAAAGCAGCAATTTAAATGCCAGAAGCAGCAGGCAGAGCTAAGGAAAGGAGTGTTCGAATGATTAATCACACTCACAACACTCTCCTCAACGGGGAGCTCTCATGTGAAGAGTTTAACGGACTTGCCAATTAGTTACTTGTGAATCATCCTCCATTTGCCTAATTTCCCTTCAAAGTTTGGACTCAGCAATTTGCACTGACTTCAAGATAACTTACAAAGTTCTGTTTGTAGGGTGAAAAAAAAAAGGAAGGAAAACCAGTTCATGCCTTTGCACTTCAGCAACAAAATTGGTCATTTGAGGAAATTTTAAAAACTACCTTTCTCTGCTCTACTATGGAACTCAGAACATAATGGGTTCATTTTGGATCTCGCTTGACAGAATTGATTATGACAAGAAATAGACTTCATTTCAATAATGAATTGAGGAATCTAACAGGTAAGATGCATGGGCCCTCAAAAGTCAGTTTCTGCAAAATGCCAGTGAAATTGTTTTATTAAAACAAAAACCAACCCAACAAGAAAAGGATGTGGACAGAAAGAGGAACACACTGGTGTTCAGCTTTTCTTAAGGCAGAGGAGATTTTCTTAACACACTGAACGTATCTGCTGTTAATTCCTATTTTACAAAGTACCTAGTTAATTTTCATATGGCCTCTTTAAATGAAGTAATGGTTCTAAAATGATACAGAATTATTCATTTTAATTCATGCAAACTTTTTACTATTCCAATAATTACTTGTTAAAAGTTAATTATTTTTACAGCAGTAAATTTCAAGTCCATAATTGTGATCTAAATTCTCTCTTAAAAATTAAGCCCCAAAGCCAGGTGCACTGGCTCATGCTCTGGGAGGATGGCTTAAGGCCAAAAGTTTGAGACCAGCCTGGGTAATTTTAGTGAGACCCCATCTCTACACTCCCCTTGCAAAAAAACAACAAACAAACCCCCAAATTAGCTGGGCATGGTGGTGCACACCTGTGGTCCTAGCTACTCTGGAGGCTGGGGTGGGAAGATCACTTGAGCCCAGCAGTTTGAGGCTGCAGTGGATTATGATCGGACCTGTACTGCACTTCAGCCTGGGTGACAGAGCAAGACTGACCTTGTCTTGAGGAAAAAAAAGAAATGCCTTAACAGGAGCGTTGGCTCCCGTGCAGTTTTAATAGCAAATGAGCAACCACATCCTTCCCGTCCCACTAGCCAGCCCTCAGCTCTCCTGTGTACACAGACCCTCAGCTCAGGGTCTGGACCTCCCTGCAAACCACAATCCCAGGACCTCATGAGACAATGTCACTGGCAGCCCAGTCAGCACTGGCTTTTCCAAACATGGCACCTCTCATGCCTGAGAGAGCCCATGAGAAATTCCTGGAACTTTTTGGCAATAGTACGGAGAGGGCAGTGGGAGCACAGATCTTTAGGAAAGTGTGCTAACTAAACTTCGTTTGCTTCAGGGACCCTATTCTTTAGAGGAAAATACAGGGAAAGCAGTGACAGTACTCAATTTGTAGTCACCCAGGGTGGCAATGTGTCACTTATCACAGGATAAATTAAGATATTAAATTGAGGGCAAATTAGAGAAAGTGTTTACTAGATTTCAAGGGACTTAATAAGTCAGTACAGGTTGAGCATACCTTATCTGAAATGCCTGGAGTCTGTCATATTTCAGATTTTTTCCAGATTTCAGAATATTTGCATAGATAATGAGATATCTTAGGGATGGGACCCAAGTCTGAACACAAAATTTATCTATTTCATATACATCTTATACACACAACCTGAAGGTAATTTTATACAATATTTGAAATAACTGTACATGAAACAAAGACTGTGTTGAGCACTTAACTGTGAAATTTTCCACTTGTGGCATCATGTTGATGATCAGAAAACGTTGGATTTTGAAGCTTTTGGGATTTCAGATTTTCTGATCAGGATGCACAACCTGTCCCTTGGATTTTCACTTTAAAAAAATCCTTAGCATTTAATTTGGCTTGCTATATGAAACTTAGGTAACCAATATCAAGCCCTTTCTTAGAAAAAGATGATCATGGCCCAACAGTTATTTAAAAAGTTAAAATAGATGTTTAAAAGTTAGAATGAAGAACCAGGCCTGTGTAGGGAGGAGGGCAGCAGTGCACATTTTTATGTGGTGGGAACCAAGACCAAGAGGAAGATGTGCCGCAGCAGACGCCCAGGATGTTGGGCTCCCGGTGCTGACCACAGCTCTATGGTCACTCCACAGTCCTGCACTGCAGTGCAGAAAGGATGGCTGCTGACAAAAATGCTGCACCCAGAGTCTGACCAACTTGAAAAGCAGCAAATCAGCAAGAAAACGATTCCTGAGAGTCCTAAGTAGCCTCTACAAAGTCAGAAAACATGCACACTCATACAGGCTACTGACGTGTCTGACAGCAGAAATTAATAAGCAGCTCTGCTAGCAGAACCTTTCTACCTGGAAATGAGAGTATTCTATAAAACCCTCACATGCTTAGTCTCCTTCTAAAGAACAATAATTTATTTTCCTACTGACTTTTATACCGAAATCATATGTGTAGAGGTCGCCAGTCAAGAGAAGACTTTTTTACTTCAGAACGAACATTAAAAACTTCTTACACAAGGGCTGGGCATGGTGGCTCAAGCCTGTAATCCCAGCACTTTGGGAGGCCAAGGCCGGTGGATCACGAGGTCAAGAGATCGAGACCATCCTGGTCAACAAGGTGAAACCCTGTCTCTACTAAAAATACAAAAAATTAGCTGGGCATGGTGGTGCGTGCCTGTAGTCCCAGCTACTCAGGAGGCTGAGGGAGGAGAATTGCCTGAACCCAGGAGACAGAGGCTGCGGTGAGCCGAGGTCACGCCATTGCATTCCAGCCTGGGTAACAAGTGAAACTCCGTCTCAAAAAAAAAACTTCTTACACAAAATGAAAATTACTATTATATAGTTACTTTTATTGACAAAAATATAGATCCTAATTTACAGAGCAGAAGGCATGGCAAACCCATTTCCTACTGGAAGCCAAGGTTTCAAAAGCAACTCACCTGGAAATCTTGATCATCAATTCCAAACCTCTCCCGCAGGTTACGGAAGACCATCGGGCAGTATTCCTTAAACTTGAAATGGCTCGGCATGTTTTCTCTGAAACAGTCACAGTGTGGAATAAAGCTCAGAGAGAGTCAACCAGACTTGCATCTGCCACCACTGAGTTCCACATGTAGCCAAAGAAGGGTCTGGAGTTCACTGTCTACCAAAGGGACAGGAGTGCTTCCTAGAACGAGGTATGACCCACAAGAAGATCCGGGAGACACAAGGGGCCAGAGGGATAACGTCTGTCTCCCTTGTCATAGGCATGCTTGGACTACGTGACCTCTTGAAATCCTGGCTGCACACTGCAGCCATTCCTCAAAGAACAAGAGGTGGGGAAGGAAGGGGCCAGGCAGGGGAGCAGTGAAGGAAAAGCACAGTGGCGGGAGAGTGAGTGAGAAGGGGCAGTGGAGCAAGCCACCAGTGTGGCCCCCAGGTTCGCTGTCAGCTACTGCCAAGGAAAGCAGGGACACTCCCTCACCCACCAAAAGGCCTGTTTTATATAAACGTTACATTCTAAATTTGCACAGAGAAAATTCTCTCAAAAAGTCAGCCTCTGAACACTATTACGAGAAAAATCACCATATCAGCTTTACAGGAGGACAATGGCCACCCTAAGAAATTTCCTAATTGGCCAGGCATGGTAGCTTCTTACACCACTCATTTGTAATCCCAGCACTTTGGGAGACTGAGGTAGGAGGATTGCTTGAGGCCAGGAGTTTGAGATCAGCCTAGGAAACATAGTGAGATCTCTATCTTTACAAAAAGTTTTTTTTTAAATCAGCTGGGCATGGTAACCTGTATCTGTAGTCCCAGCTACTCAGAAGGCTCAGAGAGGAGGACTGCTTGAGCCCAGGAATTTCAGACTGCAGTGAGCTCTAATTTTGCCACTGCACACCAGCCCAGGCAACAGAGCAAGATTCTGTCTCAAAAAAAATTTCCTAATGATCTTCATGTGGGAATGATTTCTTTAAGGCTCACCCTAATCATTCAGAATCGCTTCCCTCTTTGTATTCCCAAGGAACCAGCTATGCATATAAATTATGCACACGCACACACCCCTCCCTTGTACTTTGCACACTGAACTATAGCAATTTGTATGTGTCAGTTTTTGTACTGTGAGCCCCTTGAGGGCAGGGCGATGCTTTACATATCACTGTGTCTCCAGCTCTCAATGGACCACCTAACATATAATAGTGCTTCACAGTGATGTCTAAAATGGCATTCAAATGAAGGAGAAATGTTCTCAATGCCCAACATGGCATCTAATTGTGCCTTATGAAAATGTACCTTCAGTCTTTATTGTTCTATGATGTAGTCATTGCTGTTCATAAATCATCATTTTCAAAGTTCTGTGTACAAGAGCAGAGGTTCATAACTGCTCAAAAAATCCAAGCAATTTACAGCTTCAAAAATTTGAATTATAATGAGAATATCACTTTCAACATATAAGATATTCATAGAGAACAATATGCCATATGGCAAAGGATATTATCCCAGAGAGCCTGCTGTTGCTTCTCTAAAAATGACAGATGGTTATGTTTATCACAGGATTAACTTCATCAGCAAAACTTTACTCCCACCCATTGAAAAATTACATGATTACAGAGATTCACAAAACCTGTACTCCTAGCAGCCACACTGGCCTTATGAAAGGTCATACTTGTACTTACTTGTTAAAAAGGTGATTGTCCACCTTTATTTTTGAATAGGCTTTGAAGTCATCTGGCATCAACATAACAGGGATTTGAACATGGCTCAGTTCATTGATCTAGAAAAAAATAAAATAAATAGCATGGGTTATTACTACCCAGGTGAGGAGGACTTGACTTGTGTGTACCTTGGGGAAAAAAACAGGGTGGACACTGGAATTTCCGTTCCCTCCCACCCACCCACCCTCCTTCCCTCTCTCATCATAATCTTTCTTCCTGCCTTCCTCATTCTCACTTCTTAGGTCTGTTTGATGCTGGGTCTATGGTGGCCCCTGGATGACAGTGGTGCGGGAGAAACAGTGGAGACTCAATCCTCATGTCACCTGTCCCTGCTTCTTGTCCACCCACTCTCCCTGCTTCTTGCCCACTCACTCTCCCTGCTTTCCCTCCAGAACCTCATCCTACAGCCCCTTTGATCACATGTCCAGGACAACTTCCCTCTGTAAAGAAAATGTTATCTGAGAAAGAAAGCTTTTAAATTTTTCATGTAAATATCCGTTGGATTAATGGATGTGATTTATATTTTTGGAATCCAAGAACAACACTCATCTATGTGCTCTTACTTCCCTTACAGGAACTAAGTTTAAAACTAAAGATTAGGGTGGGGCATGAATTTACCTAAAGAAGAACCTCCATTCAGGGAAGGAGGAAGACATACGGCCCCAGGACTACATGAGAAGGAGGTGTATTGGACAGGAGTCAAGAACAAAAGCGAAGATGTGCTTCCAAAGGACAAAGGGTAAGATCAAATTCCAGTCAATGACAGGGATGGCTTTGGACACATGATTTTGAAAAACCTGAACTTTCTCTTGATTATTTTTGCATGTTGACTTTCCTTGTTGCTAGCAATAAAAACCATGTCAAAGATTTATGCTTCCAGTAGGATAGAAGGTAGGTAAGCTGAAGGATTCTCAGTTACAAAAACAAAACAAGCAAACAACAAAATAATAAGCTGCCTGATAGAGCAGTTTTGTTTTGTTTTTTAACCACACTGCTGTGTTCCCGGATGGTAGAGGGAATCTCCAAGACACCTTTCTTCCCCCAAAGTGAGTTTAATCCACAGGGAGTGTGGGGACCATTAAGAAGGCCTGAAGAGAGGGACTCTCTGAGGACAAATGCCAATTTCAACACTTGCCTGGGCCAAAGGAAGGCTGGGAGCTCAACCAAAGGCTTCAACATTAACCTGAGATCCTTGAAGGAAGCCTTTCAAAGTGGTCCCAACATCAGTGATGTCCTCCAGAGATCATCTGTGAAAGTAAATGCAAATGATCTCTGGAGGAGAGCGCCCCCTGCCAGGCCTCCAGGTTTCCCGCAGATGGAGATCAAACATGAGCTCACAGGGACAGCAACGACTTATTACTATTTTCAAGGTTTTAGCTACTAAGATGATCAGATAACAAATTTTTAAGCTGTGAGAAATGCATACAGAAATAGAAGATGAACAAAAGATGATTATATTTGAAGGGATAATGATGATTCAGAATTCCCACAACTGATTAAAGTTATACAACTGTAGATATAGTTGAGCACGGTGGCTCACATCTGCAATTCCAGCAACTTGGGAGGCTGAGGCAGGACTGCTTGAGCCCAGGAGTTTGAGACCAGCCTGGGCAACATAGTGAGACCTTGTCTCTAAAAAATAACAAAAATTTGCCAGGTAGTTCCAGCTACTTGGGACACTGAGGCTGGAGGATCACTTGAACCCAGGAGTTTAAGGCTGCAGTGAGCTGTGATTATACCACTGCATCCCAGCCTGGGTGACAGAGTGGAGCCATGTCTGTTAAACAAAACAAAAAAACAAAAGAAACAACAACAACAAAAATGGATATAGAGTATTCAAAGCAATATATACCTAAGAATATTTAAAACACACCGAGATTATGCTGTAAACTAAAGAAGGCCAATGCAAAGACAAGAAAGGATTGGTGGCTAGAGAGAAAAGGCAGAACGCAATGGAGGGATGAGAGTGATGACTGACAGCTAGCTTCTCAAACTCACTGAACAAAAACAGGCATCTAACATCATATAACTTCTCCGGTTCCCTTTACTCAAGTGCCTTTGGATACTAAGTTATTCCCACAGTGTATCCGTGAAAAATTAAAATTTATGTATCTTTATGCTATCGGTGGAATATCAAGTTTGAAAAATAACAGAAAATCATAATGGAAATCCCAGTCCTGCAATAATAAACACGACGCGAATGAAGCTGGATGCCAACTCAATCAGCACTTCGATGTCTTGTGGAACGAGAGAAAACAAAACCCAACTTACAGTGTGACTGCACACTGATTATTTAAAAACACGTGATGCATTCAGCAGCTCCTCCAAGGCCTTGATGCCTCCCCACGCTGCTGAAATCAATATCGCTTGATAGGATCTTCTTTAGAAAGGAAGCAGGAAGCCAGAAACTTTTGAATCCTTTTGCTTTACGGTACCTCCTCTGGAACATGTTTTATGGAGAAAATACGACAACTTCAGCCAACATGGAATGAGTAAACTGAGAATTTTCCTTATTGATTTTCCTTCCCCACCCATCCTCGCATCAGCACACCTTTGAGAGTTCACTCTGTGCTGGGCACAGCTCGGACACCAGTCTTTGTCCTCTTGGGACCTATGGGCCAGAGGGCAGACACATTAACTGAAGAACTGTACCAAGTGTAGAACTCTAACAATGACAGAGTCAGGAGGGAGAAGCACATCAGGCCATGAGCAAGTATGGAAAAGGCCTAGGCCAGGTGTGGGAGGCATGCGAGGCTTCCCTGGGCAGCAATGACTCAGAGAAAGGTGAGGGCAGGTGGAGAGGGCTTCCAGGAAGAAGGCGGGTCCTGGAGAGGAGGGGGCACTGTTAATGAGAAAACAGTGCAGAAAGAGATAACGCAGGTGGTATGAGAGGGATGAATAGCAGGGCCAGGAGCACCAGGAAGCGGCTACTGTAGAATTGCACAAGACAGAGGAGAGCAGCTCAGCAGAGGGAGGAGGAGGCAGCAAAGGCGAAGGAAGCAGTCCAGCATGCTGAAGTGGTGAAATCTGCAGGGCTTGATGAATAGAAATGCAGGGAAGATGGAGAGAGTGCTGCATGCATGACACTGATGCATGCAGTGGATGGCGAGTCCACTGACTGGCACAGTGCTTTTTAAGAGAAGAGTTCAGTTTTGAGCTTGTTACATTTCATGTGCTCTTAGGACATCTAAGTGTCAGTGTCAGGTGGGCAGTGGACAGGTGAGTCCAAGGTTCCCAGGAGCAGCAGGGGCAGGAGATAAAAACATGTGTATCTGTGCGTCAGACATTAGCTCCCCAGAGGAGTGAACGAGGTAACCTGGGGAGCGGACAGAGTGATGGGGAGGAGGGCAGAGAAGCAGTCTTCAAGAACATGAGCATTTAACAGCCTGGAAGAGAGGATGAGAAAGGGGAAAACTGCTATGGAGGCAGGAAGTGAAAAAGCACAGGGCCACCCAATGGGAGTGCAGGAAAAAAGGGGTTCAAATATGCTACGGGATAAACATGAAGCTTCTGAGAAGGCAAGAACTAGGAACTGTCAGCTGGATTGAGCAGCACAGGAGGTTCTTGGCAACCTTGGCAGATATGTTTTGGTGAAGTGTAGCAATGGAACCCAGACTAGGCTAAGGTGAGGTAAGGAAATGCCAGCACTGCACATGGCTGGTTTCTAAGGATCCTGGAAGGGAAGGAGAGGAACGAGATGACGAGGGATGGGGGATAGAGGGAGGACCTGAGAGAGTAGGGATATTCCCTAGCACTTCTTGAGAAGGTGCGAGGGGATGGGATCCAAGCACAGGAAGAACAGGCTCTGGGGATGGTGGACTTTCCTATTCACAGGAGAAAAAACAGACAGGTGTCACTGGGAAAAGGCAGAACTGAGGGAAGACGGGGGCTCCCATCCATTGGCTCCTATTTTTTCTGCCAAGTAGGTCCATGGCTACCTGCTGAGAGGGAGAGGCAGACAGGACTTCAAAGGTTAAAGAGAACACAGAGAGCTAAAAAAAGGGGACTGCAGAATGTGGATGGACAGGAGGCTGGGCTTCTGAGCAGGGCTGAGAGCCATCCACAGTTTCTGACGGTTCACATACAGGAAGCAAGCAAACTTGTGGAGTGACATTCCTCATTCTGGCAGAGCTCAACCCGACCCCAGGGTGCAGGTGCAGAGACAGAGGATGACAGGGGTCCTTCCGGATGGAGGTGTTTGCTGGCTGAGTGTGACATAAAGGGGAAAGGAGTTCCAGGATGATACTTGGAAATGGAAAGTCAGTGCAAAACAAGATCCCTGACCGCAAGGAGTTTTCCACAGTATTCGACAGGCGAGGACCTTCACACGTGGTAAAATAACAAGCAGCAGAGAAGAAATGCTGAATCCAGATGACAAGTGCCACAGGAGCACAGAGCAGGAGCCTGCGGCCACAGGTGTGGATAAAGGGCTTCTTGGAAGGAGTGCAGCCCTATGTGGCCCTTGAGGAATGGAGAGTTGTGACTACTGTGTCATTTAAACGTCAGGGAAACACAAACTTTTAGCTAGTCCCCATCTTCCAAAACCAGACTACCCCAAGAGGTAGAGAATGTCTGGTCCTAATTGTCAAAGAAGACAAGAAACGAGACAAGAAGAAAAATCAAAGATAGTTAACACTTAACACCTTTGTTTACATGTTATCATAAGATGCTGAAATTAAAAGAATTCTGGAGACTGTATAGTCTCACCTCTCATTTTGCAGACCGTAGTGTGTCCTGGTACAGCAGTACTTACACCTTCATAACTGAGTAGTGCGGCAGGATACTGAGTCAGGTCTGACAGCTACTTCATGGATACTTTATCTTTCATTCACACGTGTGTCACATTGCTTTTGGCTTTATTTCCCCTCCAGATTCCCCCCAAAAAACTTCTTGGTCAGATGGTAGCTAGATTTAATGACTTGTGAACAATCACTCCACAAAACAGAGGACCTCCTACCTAAAAGAGTTTCTAACTGGTAACCTATTTTTTCAGTATTACACCCAGGAGCCCCTGTATTATTTTTTTTGCAGCATGTTTTATTTTGTTGTATGTGAGGCT